GACGGACGGACGGACGGACAGACAGTCACCGCTTAATCGATTTCTCTTTTCATTCTGATCATTTATGTATACATTTGTCTATATCTATCTCGATTCGTTTTGCCTGTTACAAACAACCGTTATGTGAACAAAGTTATAATACCCTTGTGCACAAGTGCGCTCGGGTATAAAAAGAAGAGACAAAATTGCATACACACCAGCGTCTCTTTAATCATTATAGTTATTTTGTTATGAATTTCTCTTCTTTCTTGCACAAGGTGTCAAAATTATTGTCTGTATACGTCAAATCATTGTCCGATTTACTGTCTTCAAATTAATCAAGACAATGATTGAGACAATTGAAGAAGTATGCATGTATAAGTGAAAAAGTGTGCATTTATTGCTATTGTCATGACAGTATTGTCCGGTGTAAGCCCTAAGTAAATGGTATTTAAACAACAATCCACAATTAAACTCAAGTTCCGTTTAAATATTCATTTGAAATTGGCCCTTAACGCAGCTTGGTACATTTGGCACACAGCGAACATGCGCACAAACAGTTTATTTAATTTTTTTGAAAAGTGCCACTTTTGGTTAGAAATCTATATATGTATATATAATACGCTAAAGGATTTTTGCCCAGGGCATCAGATCTGCACCGTTCGTTCGATTTTCAAAATTGAGGTGTCAAATTAAAAGGCTTGGAGCGTGTCAGACATAAATATTTCCAACTTTTCCACACAATTCACTGTCAAATTGAGAAAGAGAAATTTTATTTCCATGTGTGAACAGCCAGAAAGACCTTTTTGTCACTTTTCGGAAATCAGTTTCAGAAATGAAAGTTGCAAGGTGTGACTGCAACTCAAAGCGCACAATACGATTTCGGAAATATATTTCACTAGCAATTTGCAATTCGCCTTTCGGAAATAAAAAAATCTCTTTCGAAATACGCTTTACATGCAAGGTGTGACTGCTTTCTGAAATTTCCCAATTTGACAGCCTTTTCGAAATATATTGCATGCGAAATATATTGCCACGTCTCTCACGCTCTTTGGTCGGTAGATGTCCAATAAAGCTTCACTTTTTCAAAAAGAGTTGCCACCTTTAAGAAAATTAATTCAAACTATTAAAAATGTAAACCAATTACTACAAAATTGGTATTAATCGAAATGGGTTTGAGGAGCTTTGTTTCTTAACTTAACTATTAAAATATCTAAACAAAAGATTGTTAAGAAATCTTTAGTTTGAATGCTAAGAATATTTTTGAGGTGTTTAAAGAGGATTTCCGTTAAATTCAAATTATTTAATAAGTCAAATGAATTATTAAAATATTGCTTAATTTATGAACTATACTTAGGGGTTCCCATACGTTTAAAAAATAAAATTCAATTTAATTCAACAGTTAGTTAAAATATGTATCACAATGTCAGACGAAGGATATTTTGGAGGTTTTAGCGTGAAACTAGTTTGAAGAGGGTGGCCAATTGTTCGAGAAGTCGAATTTTATTACACAAGTTATTTGAAATATGAAAATACAGGTGTCAAGCGAAAGAGTGTTAAAAAACCTTTAGTTTAAACATTAAGAATGTTTGAAGAGGTTGCCACGTCTAAAAAGTTAGATGGGTTATTAAGAGATTAAGTATCAATCGAAAGGGGGTTGAAAAGGCTTTATTTCTTGAATATAATAATAAGGGTTGCCATCTGTTTAAAAATGTAACACCTACGTTGAGTAAGGTAATTTAAATATGTATCACAATTTGGCTGTCAGACGAAAGAAATTGAAGAAGGTTTGGTTACCACCTGTTTGAAATTTCGAACACATCGAACACATGTTTTCGTTGCTAAAACTGGTTTTCGACCTAAAACTTGTGTTTTCGTCCATGTAAAATCTGTCAAACGAAAACCAGTTTTCGCTGAAAACTACTTGAAAACTCACGTTCCACTCATTCAATCGGTGTCTGCACTAGTTTTTTCTCGATTATTCATCGAAGTGGAAGTCATATTTTATCATCTTTAATATACCACTTCGGATTTATTGCTAGTTGACTGGCCAAATGAAAATAAGAATAAAAGAACAAGATTGCTAATGAGAAGAAACTTTAAGAAAAGTATTTTTTTATAGCCAAACTGCAAACAAAGGATGTAAGAAATGTCAACGAAAACACTAGCAGCCGGTGTGAACAGCCTTCAGCCCACAATCCCAAAACTCGTTTTCAAAGTGTTTACGTTGTCGGTCAGAACATGGTTTAACATCATCCACTGCATCTTAAGTGTACTCGGTGACAATGGCCCATAGTTATAGACAACTTAGAGGCAGGTTTTAACATTTAAAACTGTATATTAAGATAAACACTCTTTCAACACTGTCATAGTCAACGTAAAAACCTTTTCACTTTAAATCGGCGTTTTAAATTTAAAATGATGTTGACGAGGTTTTAAAATCTTAAAAGCGTACTCTAAGTAGACGTTTTCCTGTCAAAATTTGCGGAGAAAATACAAAAGTGGTCTTAATTTGAAGAATATGCTTCCCAATCAAAGGATATTTCGAGATTTTGCGATTTTGGATGATACAATCGCAACCAGAAATAGGAAAACATACAAGGACCGCTAGCAGGTCTTTTCAGCAGCAGTCCAATTAACGAATTCACAAATTCTTTTCACTTCCTATAAAAATTAAATTATTTACGTTATTTTGTTTTACAAAAATTTGTTATTTACTTACAGTTTTCTGCGCCATTTTCAAAATTATTTATAAAAGTCAGTTGACACAGGGTGAAATTGCTAAAATAACAAAGTTTTCCTAATGCCGATTGGTTACTTTTTTCATTTTATATTAATGGGCCTATTTTGTGTCCATCTAACAAAAACCTGCCCCTAAAATGTCTATAACTGACTAAAACTTAAAGCCTGCTCTAAACTTAAAGATTAATTTTAACTAGAAGAGGTTTTAACTTTCGACTATAACTACGGGCTGATATTTCTGCAACGTAATTGAGAACCAATAGCTTTAGGTCCATTCCTTATCTTTTCGGACTAAAATCTGAAAAGAGTCAAAATGCAAGAGCGTAAGCAAAATCCAAAGAATGGCAACAACAAAACTAACGTCAAATAAGAATAGAAATGTATGTACAAAACACATTCACACAAGCACAAGCACAATAAACATTTACTATATCAATGAACGGAGGAACGCTTTTTGGACTAAATCTGACTACTTCGGACTTTTTCTGACTATTTCTGGGAGATAAGGAACGCAACTTTTATATGTATGTATGTTGTCAACAACCTTTCTACAACGATACAACGATAAAGAAAAAATTGCCATTATTTCAAGTGTGTGTCCAAGGAATTTTGACATCTGAGCCTGTTGCCTTACTCTCTCCTCAAGAAATAATGGAACGGGCATATATTTCTGTTACAAACCTGGGTTGCCTTGTGCTCTTTTTGCACAAAAAACTTTAGAAAACCGTAGTAAAAAGCGTAGCAAATTTCTTAAGAACTGCGTACTGCCTTAAGAAAATTTGACTCAAGAAAATTTTCTAGCCATTTTTGGTACGTCATTTCATATGGAGTTTTTGCTTTTCTTGAGAGCTGCATACTGGCCTTTACCCCAACTACTGCCGGCGTGGGTTTAGTGGACTTTGTTACGGGACTGTTCTTTGTATGCGATTGCGGTTGTGTGCGCTGATGAGGGTAGCAAGCTATCGAAGCCACCTCTATTAGGATATTAACTGTCGGAATTCATAGTCATGTGGACCTAAGTATCTAACAGCAGCTTGGCCTCCAATATTCATTTTGTAAATGCGTCGCCAAAAATTCGTAAGGCCCCTTGAAGCTAATAAGTGAGAAATCTCATAGATGTAATTGTGAACTCTTGGGCATAGGTCATAAATTCCATAGACCGACGTCAAATCATTTGGTTTTTGGATATTTTCGCATATACAAATTTAAAAAAGTAGGGTAGGGACACAACACTGTAGGGACCATGTCTAATGGTTGAGGTTTTTACATTTGATCTGTAAATATTACTGACAGATGTTAAAAACAAGAAAATCTCCCATGGTTCCACTTTCAGTGTAAAAAGGATGCTTCGATAAGTGGCACCTACGATCAAAGCGGCGAGCTATTTGAGTGAAATACGGGGGTGGAAAAACGGCAATTGCGTTCAGTACTCTAAAAAGTAGAGTTATCGAATGACTAACACTCCCAGATATCTAGATGTTAGGAATAATGACATTTTATGCCTGAATTTCCCTCATATGCCGAATAGCTTTTATGCTTTCAAGATTTTGTAAATTTTCATTTTCTCTTCAGCGAGAGTAACTTGAATCTTGCGTTAATGAGATCCTTCCAACATGGCGTATCACAACTCAAACGGAGGCAATAATGCGGTTGGTGGTAGTCTATGCGGCATTGCCGGTGAAGTAGGTTCCAATGAATATTCCGACGACGAACGTGACTCCCGAAGTGGTGAAGAGCGCGCCAATAGTGACGCTCATGACAAGCCTATATATCTCCTCGAACATTTAGCCACCTTCACGGTGAATAAGGAGTCCGGAATCATTTACCCAGCTGATGGCATGCGGCGACTACTACAGTTGGAAAAAACTACTGGCATTTGGTCACAGAAAATGCAATTATGCTTGGACTACCAATGGGTGCTTATAATGGACTATGAAACTGGGGTAAATAACATTGACTCTAAAATATGTCTCTCCAATTCTTTAACTGTGCACTGATTGATTTTTCTCTTCTCATCTAATTTTTAGAATATAATTGAACGGTTTCCAGCGGCTCTTATACAGGAACCTACAGCATTTACATCCACAGATGCCATGGAATTATACAACAATATTTTAGTATTCATCGTCACCGGTGGGAGTGGTTCCCGTTCAGAAATGCATATATTCCAGGTCAGTATTTTGGAAATGCATTAGGTAATTTTTTAAACTGTATTAATTTTAAAACTGCATGTAGTCACAAAACGTATCCGCTGTGCATTTGGTTGAAGATTTGAAAACTCTGAGAAGTGGGAAAATGGTAACACAACAGCGAGAGGACATACTGCAACAGCACCATCAGCTAGGCCAAAAAGGCGGCAGTGGAACTCCAACCAGTGGTATGCCTAAGCCATTACCCGCTTCTTCGATCCGCGAGCAGCAGGTGCAGCAACTCCATAACCACCACAGCGGCGGTATAATTACGCCATCACGCAACAGCATAGATCAATATGGCTTACATGTTCGCAACCCAATGACAGAAACAAGTGGAGGGGGCGGTGGCGGGAATGGCGAAACTGATTCGGAACAGGGGGCGTTGAACGACGAAACCAGCTCGACGTCCAGTGATAAATATGAGCGTGATGTAACCGTTTTGAACCATTGCTTTGATGATATTGAAAAGTTCATAGCACGCCTGCAGCATGCGGCTGCAGCTTCCCGTGAGCTTGAGCGTCGGCGACGTAACCGCAAAACAAAGAAAAAAGATCCGGGCGAGGGGCTGCTAACACTCCGTACTCGACCACCTCACGAAAAAGAATTTATCGATATATTCGCCAAATTCAAGCTGTCGTTTAACTTGCTGGCCAAGTTGAAAGCACACATTCATGATCCGAATGCACCCGAGCTAGTTCATTTCTTATTCACACCATTGGCACTTATCGTGGAAGCGTCAAGTGATACTTATTATGAGTCCCAGTTGCCAACACGCGTAGTTAATCCTCTGCTTACACGTGAAGCCATAAATCTCTTAATTAACTGTGTCACGAGCAAAGAAACCGAGCTATGGCGTTCCCTTGGCGACGCCTGGATAATACCACGAGACCAGTGGAAAAACGACGTCGGCTCATACCATCCGGTATTCATGGATGGATGGTCTCCAGATTTTTTGGTTATCGACGAATTGGAAACACCTAGTACGCCAACAAACATCAGTAAGCGTCGACTGGAATCCCAAGCGAATTTGCATGCTCCTCATGGCGGGCATAGTGGTGTGAATGGACGCTTGGAAGGTGTCAGTAACAATTTGAGCGGCGCATCGTTACATATCGCACAGCCCGATGAGTACGAAACAAATGCACCTAGTGAGAAATATGCTGGCAATTACGAGCGTGGTGGCGATCGGCTGGCTGCAGCCTGCGGTATAGGCAGTGCTGCCGAGGGTGTGCCCGGGGATTTCAGCACCCGTAGCGAAATTTCAGTTGATTCGATTGAGCGAAACGTCCCAGGCCCACACGGTTTACCAGTGAACAATAATAACGCCCCAGGCATTCAAGAAATCGCAATCGGTATGCAACAATTGCACACAAGGGACAGCAGAAGCAACGTAGGCGTTCGCAATATGAACGTAGTTTCCGAACTTTCTGGTCGAGAAAACAATACCAATGATGAGCAAATGCTCGAGGCCTGGCTAGAGGATTTGCAAGCAGCTGGTGCGAAAATTGTCCTAGTCACATATCCACGTACAGCTAACAACGATAAAGAACTTAGTGTCGTTCGTGGTGAATACTTGGAGGTGAGTATAGGGTTTTTTAAAAAAAGACTCGCTGCTATTCGTCTGTGCTAATAAATACGTATGTTTGTACGTGTGTGTCGAATTGGAAGAGTAGCTTATTAAAATGTTTGTCTAGAATAGTGGATCTTAACCTTTTAATGACGTAGGACTTTTTGACCAAATTTCTGTCTTTTGGCAGACCACAAGTTATTTGGATATATAGTAAGTGTAAATGAATAAAGGCTCGTTCTATCTATAAATAAAACACGCATAAAAATATTCGAAGATATCCGTGTTTTACCAATTTTATGAAATTTTTACATTACAATGATAATAATATATCATAATTTGAGGGCGATTTTTGTTACTACATACTTTTTATTAACTTAGGAATCCTTGATTCAGTACTACTCAAAGCCAAACGTATGTCGGCAGTGGCATCTAACCTCCTTCGGTGCTTATTTCTAATTATCAGATAGGATATCGATGAAAACATAGTAAGGTAACATAATGCAACACTCTAAAAAATCTTTTTAAAAATGCGACTATAAATCGAGTATATTTTTGTTTATTTTTTAAATTTTTTGGTAAATTTAGACGATGAATACGTATTTTTCTCGTTTACACATTTTTGTGTGTAAAAATCTTTTTTGTAAGCGTCTTTACACAATTCTATGGGTGAAATCAAACAGCAGATGTGTATTTTGTAGCTTGTACACACTTTCGTAGTAAATTTACGCACACCACAGCAGCTATATTACACTCTAAGAAATCCGAAATTTAATCAAACTATTCGGTGAATAATCGAGCATGTAATTCCGCGAATAATAAGGTAGGAAATCAGTAACCTACCTTTTAGCTAAATTTACACAATTTTTTTTTTAAGGGAATTTTTCGAATCACTGGAAAAGAAATAGCCTCTTTGGGCTCAGAAAGCTTAAAGAATAATTCCTACTTCGCATGCATTTTTCAAGTTGATACCGTATTGCATTTCAATCGCTTCTACTGGAATTTCATCAGGCACCTCAGAAATACTGACAATAAAAAGATTGCAGATCAGTTTCGGTGTACCTTTATCCTTACAGGAATATAATGTTCCCTTGAATTTCTCCTTTAAACTCAGCTTACTGTCCACCAGTCATTTTTTCCAGCGTATCGAATGCAGACGATTTTTCCCCTAACGACTTTGTTGATCCATAGCACAATTTTAGAGATAAATAGACTGATTTTAGATTCGTAAGCAAATATATTGTTCATGCCCTGCTACGAATACTTCAAGCTTCCCGATCCTTGCGGTTGAAGATTCTAGATAAGGGAAGCCAACTCGTGGGGAATTCCCCGATTTGCGGGGAATTTCAGTTTACGTGGGGAATAAGGGAATGGACCGTCTTTGTGGGGAATTTCAGCTCGCTCAATTCTAGTATAATAAAGTTACAAATGGCTAAAAATTACCGTTGATTTTTTAGAATTTTCTTTGTAGCATTTGCTTTCATATAGCGAATAAACATAATTTATTTTTATATGGAAGAAACCCGCAACAACTTCGGAAAAAATCCTAAAAAGAAAATGTTTAGCCATTTGAAACTTGCTGTTTATTATTCTAGAATTGAGTGGGCTACAAAACTGCATACTTAAAATATTTCTAGAAAATCCAATTAAAAAGCTCGAAATTTGTACGAAAGTTTGTTGAATTTTTTTTTCAAATATTTCACAAAGTTTGAAACCTGGATTTATATGGTTTTTGTTAAAGAATGAACTATATTTTTATAAAAAAATAACTCAAATTAATTAACAAAAAAAATAATTGGTTCGAGTAAAATTTTTTCGCACTGCATGTATGTAAATATTACATAAATATTTTTTATTCATTATTTTTTAACTAACTTTATAAAAGTTTGGTTTAGTTTATCAATACATAGATGGATTACGTTTAAAAATAAAATAAACAGAAAGATCAATAATATATCAAAATACATATTTTTTTTTTGTAAGTAAGGAGATATCTATAGGTGGGGAATTTTACGAAATTTCGGGCAAAATTCTCAAAACTGAGTTGGCTACCCTGTTCTACATATTTAGTTGTGCAAAAAATCGACTTTATTTAGCAAAACGTATTTGAAGTTTGGACGGCCAGAACTGATCCAGCAACTCTTTGTTCTTGTCAGATACGAATATTTATGCTTCTTCTCTCAGTTCTAATCAAAAGCAGACCCCGTCCATAGGGATAAGTCGATACCATCAAGGTATTACTCAAATCAGTACTTGTACTTGTATCAAACAAGGTATCGATACCTACTCAGTATCGGAAAGTTATCGAGTACTTGTACATAGAGTACGAGTTTGCATATTTTTTCAAAGTAATTGTATTTTTTACACAAACAATATGTTTTTTTACAAGATTATTTATCCTTTAATATTTTTTCATACAAAAATTTAAGACAACAATTATTTTTGTACAGTATTTGATTTCAAAAACAATAGAATACATTTTTACAAGATTAATAGATAAAGTTTTTTTCATATAAAATATGGAGTTATTTCCCTTTTTTGTTATGTTTCCCGAAATTATCAACTTCTCCAAGTGTTTTCATGAAAGTTGGTTTCGTGGTTTTGATATAGTTGTACCTGTTTTTGAGAAAAGCCTCCCGCAAGGGACAGATGACCCAACAACCGTTATGTATAGACGGTCTTGCTTATATAGCTGTGGAAATGTATTGCGCATATCTTCCAATTCCTCTAATGGGTTACTTTTCAAAGAAGATGCTGAAGCATAATAAGTTTTGCGCTTCCGATACAAGTACTTTTTTTCGATACCTACTTGGGTCGGAGTAAAAAGTATCAAGTACAAAAATACTTGGTAAATTGAGAAAAGGATCGAGTATGTACTTGGATTTACTTGTATAGATTTATCCCTACCCGTCCAGAAGCCTATATACTTGCAGACTGGACGATAATCGTTTTTGTATCTTGCAAACACTTATCATTGTTTATAAAATTAAAAATAACCTAATCAAACACAATACTGATATTAATTACACACAAATTCCCGTCTATAATTTTCGGAATCAACGTGACATGAGGACCAAGTGTTTTAGAACTGAAAGAAGTACTAAATCAATTAGGAACTACGGCGTTAAAACTTTCAACAAGCTGCCAGAACAAGTACGAGGCGCTAGCAATTTACAATTTAAAATACTAATTAAAGAGTTCCTGCTACAAAACCCTGTTTTCGACTTCTTTTAGTAGAATTTTCGTCAAATAGAATTATCTCCTACACTATTGTATGTAATCAGTTTTCGCATTATCGTTTCAAAAATGAAATTTTTTAATTTTTAATGTTTGAAAAATCTATGCATATTTCCAGACATGCATGTAACGGGTGATTTTTTTGAGGTTAGGATTTTCATGCATTAGTATTTGACAGATCACGTGGGATTTCAGACATGGTGTCAAAGAGAAAGATGCTCAGTATGCTTTGACATTTCATCATGANAATCATTTGGATTAACAGTCAAGCACTGAATTAATAGCAGTGTTGGGCGTTATTCAATTAAAGTTTTAATCATCTTGTTAATTGAATAAAAAAAGTAATTGCAATTGAAATTAAACTTTTAGTTGCGTACAGCAATTAAATTAATTACAATTAATTACTTTTTTGATAACAATTAACCTAATTATAAATAAAACAACAAATACAGCACAGGCCTGGGATGTGGATGGCTATCATATCCACGTATGGTAGGCATTTGTAATCATTAATTTTTAGTAAAACTCACACCACAGTTGACAATAAATTAATTGTTTATTGTCTGTACAATTAAAATTTGCCCAACACTGATTAATAGTAAAAGGGACGGCGAGTATAATATTCAATGCATTCTGATAGACTGTTTGTAGGGTAATTGAATTAAAGTGAAAGTACATACCATCCATTGCGTCGCCGTCACGGTCACCGTCACCATCACCGTCAACGGTGCTTATGCGCCAAGTTACACACTATCCGTTTGACGTTGTGTCCGAAATATCATAAACTCGCTGCTAATCTTTGCAAAATTTGCGTTTTACTTTTGCACTTCTTCTATTAGGTATTCCTCCATCATTTTTAAAATTTCGGTTTTCCATAAATCAAAAAACTTTCACAAACTGGAAAAATTTACGTTCAAACATGTAAACAAAACACAGAATAGTTGTCACTTGACGCAAATGCATAAGCAAAGTTGAAAGTTGAGCTAGTTTGTGCGCCACCGGCTCCATCAACTTTGTACATGTAACTTACTTCATACAAATAAATCTTTTAAATTTTTTTGACAACTGCCGGTGACGATGACTGCGACGCAATGCACGTTGTGTACTTTCACTTTTAATAGCGATAAGTATGATGCTCATATTTCAATACGTGCTTTCAGGCATAATATAATAAACAAAGTGAAATCAATATTTGACGTACGCTTATTTGAAAATTTAAATGTAAACAATTCGTATATTTGTTTACATTAACCCTCTTTCGAACCGACTTCTGAGATAGGGCGTTCTTCAACCAAATTCTGTGATAGGGTGTTTTTCAATATTTTCAATATTTTTTTTTTCAGAATTTATGCGAGTTGCACTAGAAATTTCCTGATTTTCTCGATTTTAGCAAATAAATTAGTCATTAAACCATATTTTGTTTTTGTGAATAACTATTCACTGATATTTTCACATATAAATAGTATTGACGAAGGTATATAAACCGCACTTGGCAGTGCAGCTGCTTTGTCTCGGAAACAATATGCCAGTACGCAGAATGTCCCCATCTCAAAAGATTTCCCCATATATGTATATAAATGCACATTAAGATTAATGATTCTTTCTCAAATTAATTACTGCAAATCAGGACAATCTATTATTACTAAAATGGCGAAAGTATAAATTTTATGCGATACTTCACATCTGTTTGGCGCACTGGGGTTGTAGTTATTGGACGTTATTTTCACGATATGCCTTTGCACTAGTGCATTTGAGAACATACCCACACTTTGATC